AGAGTAAAGTTTTTATATATATATATATATATATAATACATATAATGGCACCGTTCTAGCGGTAAACACTTAAAAAAGAACATGTCAAGCTATGTGCTGTATCAGAAACAACAGAAAAACAGTGTTTTGGGAGTAATATGCTGTGTGTTTACATTAGCAAGCATGCTAACACTCAGAGCTAACCATGGAGCTAACGCTGTAGGCTACTGGAGAGAATATGTGTAACGTAATGTCCTTGTGGTAAACCCTGCGAGACAGAAAGGTTTGAGCTCCACACTGTTTCAGAAATAAAGCTTGGTTAGTGGTTAGGAGCATAACATGGCATTTAATCACCGCAGCGTTTAGCTGAGATCTCCCGGTAGGGGGGGAAGCTGCGTGACGCTACAAAGGGGCGTGGCTAGCAGAATCAGCCTGTTTGCAACAGGGGTATGAGCAGTATGAGGCAAGGCTACAATGGGGGACCTGTTTGGTATTTTAAGCAAAAAACTTCACAGACATGTTTTGTATAGGTATGGCCTACAATATATGTTTCCAATATAACATGATAGGTCCACTTTAAAAAATAAACTATGACCCAATACTTTGTTAAAATGTCAGAGGAAGGGGAGGGGTCTGAGCCGCTGGGATAGACACTGACATCGGCATCATGTTCCCATCAAATCAGATATTTTTAGATCATTGGTTCTGATTTTCGGGGTCAACACAACCCCAAGGATTTGCAAGATATCTTATTAAGTGTGTGGGAATAAGACATTTGGACTTCATTCATGATATAAATTAAAAAAAATTTCTAAAAGTGGCTTTTAAACGTATAGATATTTCATCCGCAAATAATCAAAGAAACATAGCTTGAAAAAATATAACAATGTGTACAGAAATATCAATAAAAAATAATTAAAAACATTTATAATCAGTATTTTATATTTTGTTATTTGTCTCGAATTATTTTAATATTTATTTTGACTTTTATTTATTTTTTATTATAAAAATTATTACTTTTAGTTTCTCTTTATATACGCATTTTTGTCCAGTCCATGCACTGCGAATGGATTTGAATTAAAGTAGGAGACATCTGGTATCCATATTTAAATATTTAGTAAAACATGAAATCAAATCAGTTCAGGTTGAGTTACCTGAGCTCAGGATAGACGTTCTCCATGTACCAGCGGAACGGTTTGCAGTTTAACTTCCTCCGCAGCGTCAGGCGGTCTGTGATGCTGCAACAAGGAAACACAGGGGGATGAAGGGACATTAAATACTAAGAATAACATGAATCTGAAGCGACGGACTCAACTCATTTGGTCGAGAAGAAACTGTTTTATGATTATTTCTGTCGTACTCCACAACCACTGAGTCTATCTTCAACTTCTCTGCTCTTGTGCTTTGATACAAATAAAGTTGAGTCGCATTATGTAGAAGTAAAATGACAATATCTGATTTAATTAACGTTTCAATGGAAAAAGCCAATCATTCTCTCTGACACGGTTTGTTGTGTAATGATGAGCATTGTTAGAACTTGTATTTTAATGTCTGCCTGAGGCAAACATTAAATAATGTATATAAAACACGATATCTGAGGAGAACAAGGAGACAAAATCAAAGAACGTGTCTGAACAATAACCGAACCTGCGCTCTGTACTGAACGCTGAGAGAGGAAGGTCATATTTAAATAGTACCAACCTGCCGAAAGCCTTTCCCTGTGCCGACGGCCGCGCAGAGTAATAGTACTGTTTGTACTCGTCCATCCAAACCTCTGCTGCACGCCGCGTGTTCCTACACACACACACACACACACACACACACACACACACACACACACACACACACACACAC